CTGGCCTTCATGAAGAAGAGGCACTGCGAGAAGATCGAGGGCTCCAAGTCCTTGGCGCAGAGCTGGAGGATGAAGGACCGGGTAGGGCCCAAGGGCAGGGGGCAGGCGGGGCAGAGCGGCCCGGGAAGGGCCCGGAGCCCCGAGGGAGAGGCGGGGGAGCTGGAGCTGCGGGGGCTCCTGCGTTTCCAGCTGCCCGCGGGTTCCCGGGAAGCGCCGGGGCTTTTCCTGGGTGCTCCGGCCGGCCCCAGCTGTGTGTTTGCCGTGTGCTCTCGGCGCAGGGAAGCGCCCGACCACTCGGAAACAGTAATCAGGAGTTCCTGATTGTGGGTGCTGAGATGCCCCTCCATTTAAGCACTTCAGGGAATATTTCTGCCTTTTAATAAATATAATAATTGGTGAAGTCCTAAGGAGCTGGCTGGGTCAGCAGACTGATAACGTGAACACAGGTAGCTGCCAATGTTGTGATTATAGGTGGCCAGTGGGGAGGATGTGCAGAAGTTTGGTGGGGTTTGAAGTCTTCCCATCCACGTGCAATGTGGAATACACAAACAAGGCATTCTTTGCCAAAATCACGTGATTTGGGAAGGGAAAAACTATTAGTTAAATCAGTTTCGTGCTGTGTTTGAGCAGTTTCGTGCCGTGTTTGAGCTTGTGCTCGCGAGGAAGGAAGCGAGCGACGAGTCAGAACTATCAGTCGGTGGTCGGTGGCAGCGCTTCGAGCTGGGGCTCTGAGCAGGGCGCTCCTCCTGGGCCCGCGCCAGCGTCGCCCCTTCACCCGGCGGTGCCCGTGTGTGGGACGATGCCCCTGCCGGCTCCCGCTGCCCCTCAGCACCAGCTTTAGCCTTTCTAGTTCAGTACAGACAAAATATCCTCAATACTCAGCTCTGCTCGCTCGCTTCTCGGGAGCTGCTTTGAGCTGCAGGATTCCCGAGCTCTCGGCGGCACATACACGTGTGCACATGGATGTCTACAAATGCTTACTCTGTTTCCAAATTTTCCTTTCCTGCCTGAAACTTCTTAAAAAAAACAATAATCTTTATCTTTACAAAAAAGCGTTTCTGGAAGTATTTCTGTATTGGTACCATGTAGATGGAACATAATAGACGAGGTTCTCTGTTGCCATGATGATCCATTTGTGACACCACTCTTTGTTTATAATCCTTCCCTTATACTTTTTTGATACTCAGTATCTTTCTGAGAGCTGAACTGAGTTATTCTGAATGCCGAGTGTTTGTTTTGCAACTTTGAGATTGGGATTCTGTTGTACCAGGCCCTTTAAAGAGGAGCGTAGTCCTTCCCTCCCACCCCTACACTCCATGTAGATAAGATTTAACACTATCTTAAAAAAAAAAAAAGGTGGGTGGTAGAAGTGATCAAGCAAAGAGGTCATGGATACAAGGTCAATTTTACATGAGCTGTGCATTTTAAAAAATAAAAGCCCATTTGTTATACAGGAATGGCAAGGGAGCAGAGCAAGTAAGTTGATAGTATGAAGAGTTGCTCTGGAGTGAGTGTAAAATGAGAAGATTAGGTAACAAATGTACACCTAGCGGCACCGAGGGTGATGCGGGGCTGCGGCAGAGCGGAGCTGCCCTCGCGGCTGTGCCGTGCGGGTGCCAGGCGCTCGCCTGGCTCTTTTGGTGCTGTCCCTGCCTTGCTGGGGAGCTTCCCGGGCGCCTGGCTCCTGTCTGCAGAGCTGCCTCCTTCTAAATGAGGAACCGTATTGACCCCATCAAGATCACCGGGAGGTTAATGTAAATAGGTATTAATTGGCTGTCTCCTCTCTCTTCGATCGCTGCCTGAGTTTCATGTGCACAGGGCAGCTGAAGGGAGTTGTTTTAATGACAAGAGGGGTGGTTGCAGTAACTGGCACAGCTTAATTCCTACCACCTTTGACCTCTTGGGATGGTGATTTTCTTCTTTTAAGAGACCTCTGTGTTTGAATGATGTGGGAGCTACTCTCTGTGAATGAGCATGGTAACGTCAGACTCTCAACGAGTTCATTCTCAAAGTTACTAAGAACCTTATTTTTGCAAATGAAGAAAGTAGGAACAAATCTTAATTTTCCGGTTTTGTTCTTCTGTAATTGTAAGTGTGGTTGGAACATCCAAAACGATTGTGGTTGCTTGTTTCAAGTTCGCTTCCCTTCATACAGGGATCGGTGGTTGTAGGCACACGTCACTGTGCGTCTCGGGGGCAGTTTTGTCTCTTTGTGTTTGTCCATGCTGAGTAACTGCTTTCAGGGGGTCACAGTAGTATATGAAAGCACAAAACACCTGAAAGAGGAAAAGGACTCACTTCAGAATAGTCAGGCTCTTTTCATTACTTTGCATAGTTATTTTTCATATGTCTTATTTTATTCAAGTCCTTTCTATCCAGTTTTGGATGTCTCTAGCATTTGATGTGATACGAGAACGTCAACAGCAAAAGAGCAGATGGGCAAAGCAGGCGTTTTGAATTTTGTAAAGAAACGGACATTTACTAAACATCCACTCATCCATTTTCACCCAGATAACTGAAGTTAGGTCAATCCTGCTAAACTACGTATAAAATCATATAATCTGTTTTGACCTTGTGTTGCATGAACACAAGGTAGAGACCAAGCTAGCACATGCTGTTATTATTTCACATAAGCCAACTGAGAACAGCTGTTGAATGTTAGGGGTTTGTCCAGAAAGGCAGGGGAATTGCTAAAAAGGCAAAAACTTGACATTCCATTGACAAGGGGACATTCCCTTCTTCAGCTTTAAAATGATCTTTGACTCCTCTGGAGTCCCACTCTTCCACGTGCCATTTGTTAATGAAGAATCTTCACTACTACAGTTGTAAGAACTAATTGCACTAAGATTTCAGAATGGAATTTCTGTCTCTTCTCTTCTTGCTCTATAGTTCTAAAAAAACCCTTGACTTTATGGGTATTGAAGTTCCCTAGAAGACAGGAGTCTGATAAGAGGGAAGACTAGAGAAAGATAATCAGTGGTAAATCTTGACAGAATAGCTGAGCTTTCACTTGCCCCCCTTTCACCCAGGACAGCTCCGAAGACATTTTATCCTTCGTCTTCTGCCTCCGTGGCGTGTGAATGCCATCGCAGTGACACTGCTTTGATCTATTATTTATTTAAAGAATATTCTTAACAGAAGAGAGTGGAATTATGCTTTGTATATTGAATTAAATCTCATAGCCTCAGTAGCAATCAACTTGCATAACTTTATTAAAATAAAAAAAAAATCAAATAATACCCACCTCTTACTGACATGTTGAAACTAAATTCAGGATATTCAAATAAGCTACTCTGTGCTTATATTGATTTCTAAAATATGGAAGGAGCGAAAAAAAAAGCTGGTTGTAATAGCTTTATTTTAACGTCTTTTCAGCTGCTTCGACCTGCAGAGTGAGAACTAAATCCTGTTTTTATGAGAACAGGAGCAGACAATTAGGTTTCTGTGGAAATGGAGATTGGAACGGGGCTGTGTACAAACGCCCTTGAAGCGGAGCCTCTTGCCGAGCTCACCTGCCCCAATGGGGAACAGGGCGAGCTCCCGAGGGGGTCGGGAAGGGAACGAGTGCGCGTGGCTTCAGCTGGAGTGGCCGCTGGGCTGTGGGACGAGGCAGCGGCGGGGACAGCGCCCGGGGCTGCCCCGTGGCAGCAGCCCCGCTGGGGTTGCCTTGGACTTCGTAGGTGTTGGCTTGTAGGTGTTCACTGTAGGTGTTTGCCCAGCAGGCTGGGCTGGGGTGTAAACCAGGAGACACGTGCTTGGCATCCTTCCCTTCCCTCCTTCCACGGGGATGGATCCGCGTGGCCCCGGAGGGGAAGGGTGCGAGTCCTTCCCGTCTGGGTCGGTGGCCGAGATCCGCTCGGGTTCCGCGGCTCGAGGAGCGGCGTCGCTGCTCCGCGCGGCCTGTGGGCTGAGTGTGCGGCGCGGGGCCCTGCTGCCTTGCAAGCAGCTGAACCAACCTCCAGAAAACAAATCCCCCAAACCAAGCGCCCCACTCGGGGTCGTGGTGTGGCTTTGTATCTGCTCTTACCTAAGCAAAGATGCCTTTGAATTAAGGTGGCTGGCTGTTGATTGGGTGGAATTGGGAAGCTTGGGCTGTATTTACCACCATCTACAAATGTACTTTGTCTTTTCCTGTACTGGCATTCCCACTTCTGCTGATCTGATGGGAAGAAAATAGTTTTTGTAAGTGGAAGAAGTATAATGACTTGGTAGACAGAAATGACCAGGACACTTATTCCCTTAAAGAGCTCCCTGAGAGTGCTTGGCTGTAATTACATTTGCAGTGTGAGTAATAAGTGATAGAAATGCAGCGCACTGCGTTGGCAAGGAGCTGGCACCATTACCGCTCGCAAAGATGAAGCTCGGGGAGAGCGAATCCGCCCTCGGCTAATGGGGCAGCAGAAGGTAACGACTCCCCCGTCCCAAATCATTCAGTCCCAACAATAACGGAGCGCTTGGCACCGCGCAGAGCGCCTGGGCGCTATCTGCTTGGTGCTGCTCGTAACAGACACGCTGCGGTGACTTATTCCCCTTCCCTCCCACCCACTTAGCGCGCTTGAAGGCCTGTGAATGAAGACAGGAATGAATCTCCGCCTGGACAGATGCGCAGAAGTGCCGCCGCGTTGCTCTGAACCGCAGCCCTCCGCTGAAGGATTTTTGCTGCGTGAGGTTTTTCCTCTGGTTTGTGCGCTGTGGTCACTGTGCATAGGCAGCGGCCGCCGTGCTTGCCTGCTGCCGCAGGAGCCCTCTGGAAATGCTTCCTTGATGCTTCCCTGGTTCCTACGTTGCCCTTCTCTGCCCTTTCCTAGACAGAGCGTTTCGGGGCTTACAGGCTTCCGTGGGGTTTCGGTCTGTTCGTCTTCATGGTTTATGTAGGGCTTGGGGGTGGCTTTGAGGGCTTGGGGGGTATGTATATATATTTTGATAAGCTTTCTGATCTGCTGACCTTCTACCCTTGAATGTTTAAGGATGCAGCATCCCTTGTGAGCTCGTTGTGACCTGCTCCTGTGATAGGGGAGCTGGAGGATGAGACGGTTACGTGCCCCTCTCTTGTTGTCTTTTTTTTTTTGATCTGTAACAAATATTTAGCACCTGTGGTAACAGGTGTCATTCAATTCCAGTGAAATTGCACTTAGATAAGTTACAGCAGACTAACTTAGGCTACTTGTCATGATAAAACTTCTGCTTTTTTCTCCAATCAGTGATTGAATGTAATCGTTTTTCTAGCTGAAAAGGACTGCAGAAATTACACTAATTTTGACTTCAAATATCTGCAGGCTACTTCAGCCTCTCATCTGCAAATCTATTTTGTTTGGAAGTGAAGAAAGAGGTGAATGCAAAAGCTTTAAACAACTCTGCTCTTTAGCACAATATGGAAATCTCAATGTCAAGAGCTTTAATAAGCAGCCTCTCTCCTACTCGAGCTGCAGATCAAAGCGGGAGCTCTTACCCCCGCTAAGGAGAGGGCAGAGCAGGCGGCAGGGTGGATCACGGGTAGCGGTGAGCGTGGAAGAGCTGGGAGAACCCAGCTTGCAGTGGCTTATGAAAAGAATTTGAGGAGGAAAAAGAGAAATTGCCGAACCCAGGAAGCGCAGGCGAGTGTTGGGCAGCGAAGCAGGCGCAGGGAGCAGCGGTGCCGCTTGGAGCGGAGCGCCCAGTGCCACGCTGGGCTGCCAGACACTGGAGCCGCTTGGGAAGCCGGGCGCTCATAAACCTGCGTTGGGCACATGGCATAAAAACTGTGCTTAAGTGTCGGTTTGCATAACCTGTTAACAGTCAGCAGGGTTTCTGTGAAGGAATATTCCATCCCTATAATCTTTGGGAATTCTCTAGCTTGCGGAGTTTGAATTCCACCCCTTGACTTCACAGTGCATTTTGACCGGGTGAGCTTTGCTGTTTAAGTCCTGCAAGTTCTGACCCAGACTTGTTGAACCATTTTCTTTGGTTCACGTGGTTTGGGCCACGTCGTTTCTTTTCTTCCATGCAGAATTGCTGACGGGCCCCTTGTGGGAGATTTTCCTGGTTTCAGTCTTCGGCCTTTGGTGAGAAAGCGCCTTGGATGTTGGTCTTCCTAGAAGCCTGGCAAATACTCCTCTGTTTTCTCTCTTGGATATATTCTTGACGTGTAGAAAAGAACATTTCCACTGTGTTTTATTAACAGATGAGGATGTCGTAGTACTCGTGCTGCTCAGCTGTGAAGCTCCTAGTGCACGTTACAGAGCGGGTTAGGAATGCAGCAAGGGCTGTTCACCTTTGGGGCTCGCTTCTGCTGTTGGCTTGTGGTGGTTCGGCCCCGGCGAGGGCTGCTGGGCTCGTGTCCTGGGTGCGCACGTGCTCCTGGGCAGCACTGGCCTCCGGGCCCCTTGCGAGGACGAGGGCAAAGTGGGGGCAATGGGCACTGGAGCATTCGGCTCCTGCCTTTGGATAGAGCAATCCCGAGGGCTTCCCCAAACCTGGGAATGCTTCGTGCGCTTCCCGTGGGAAGGCCAGCAAGGGAATCCCTATTGCGTGGGCATCGTTTCCTCTGTGCCCCGGGGATGCTGCTTAGTCCTCGTTAACATCGTACGAGCGTAAATAGCTCGGCCGCGATTGCGGATTCCGTCATCCAGCGTGTGGCTCGGCACGAAGCCGCTATCCAGCTTTCCTGCTGCCTTTCCACGCCAGAGCCGGAGTCGGCAGAGGCTGCAGATGTGGAGCCTCCCCCTGCTTGGTGTGAACAGCGTCTGCTCCACTTCCCAGCTTCATAAATTATACATTCGCGTGGATCTGGCTTTTTCAGTAAGTGTGGGGTTTGGGATTTTCTTTTTTCTCCCTTTTTTTTTGCCTGCTGCTCTGAATCCTAATGAGCCCCCTGGGGAGCAGAGCGGGGTGGCCGTGAACCACATCCCCGCTCTGGTTTCCTCCTCCGCATTACGTACTGGTGTGAAGGAGAGTTGAGAGAAGAGCGCAAGGCTGCAGGATCATAACTTTCAAACACTGGTTTGCAGCGGCTCTGCTTCAGGTTCAGGGCTGGTTTGGTGCTCCCTTTAGGTGCTGGTTACCCATGGAGCTGGGGCCCTGGGACCTGCTGTGGCTTTCATGGGGTGGCTGCTCATGCTGCTGGCCTGGGCTGGTGCTGTCACCCACAGGGCTGCACACAGGAGTCCCTCCCGCCGGGGACACCCCTGTTTCTTTTGCAGGAAATGAAACACGTGGCTGCTTTTGGGGCCTGTTGGGTCACTTTGGTGCCTCTGTAGGTGGCTTGGGAGTGGTTCCTCAGCTAGGGTTGAGGGTTTGGGCAGGGCGGCTGGTGTCAAAGGGGGCTGCAATAACAGTGGGATCTGGGGCTGCGCGACCCACGCGAGTTACTGAGGGACTGAAACCATGAGAAACAGTCAGCTGGGATTGAACATTTGGTTCCTCTCCAGTGTTTGTGAACACTGAAAGTGAACTGAAGGGGAAGCTTCTGATCAGAGGCTTCAAAATGCCTTTTTTTCTCCTGCATTTTTATCTCATGGGCAGTGCTGGGCAACAGGTGTTGTAAGTGTGCACAGATTGGCAAAATCCTAAATCTCAACTGTTGTCTCCACAAGTCCTCCCGCTTCCGAGAGCTGTAATGCATGTCCAGGGTAACCAACGTGTTGGGAGTCCTAGAAAACAGGTCAAGAAAAGCATTGACTGAACACTTGTGTGTTAATCCATTGCTTAGGTTCTCTCCCCTCTGCCCCCCCCTTCCTTTATTTCTTTTAGGTCTAATCTTAGAAAGGGCACTAATCTAATCAGGACCCCTGACTAGCACATTCATTTTTATTAATAATGTATTTCAGTGAGACATTGACTAATGTAAGGTGCTTAGCAGAAGTCCAGTGCTGTCTACTTCCGTGCTGCACAGTTGAAGGGCGGGCTGTGGAAATAATAAAAATAGTAATGTAAAATCTGAGGACTGGTGTGCTAAAAAGAGGAAAAATCTATTAGTCCTGCCGTGCTTAACATAGTGTGGGGTAAAGAGCGGGTAATGAGGCTTCGTTGAAACTCTTCAAAAGTTCTGGTGGTAGCAGAATCCCAGCACACCCAGCACTTGATCTCTTCCCGCGCTAAGCAGGCGTTTCTGGTCTCTTCCTTCTAGATGAAGACCGTTAGTGTTGCCTTAGTTTTGTGCCTAAACGTCGGCGTGGATCCTCCTGATGTGGTGAAGACGACGCCCTGCGCCCGCCTGGAGTGCTGGATCGGTGAGTGTGGAAAAGCTGCGGACTGCAGGTGACGGCTGCTCTTCCGAGGCCCGAAATATCACATATATTGCAGTCTCAGTCACGCCTGTCCCAGCTTTAAAACTAGGGTAAATAAAAGGAATCCCCAGCATCCAGTTTGGATGTGTCAAGCGGGAACACCCCAGGTCATCTTTCCGGATTTACTCCAAATTGGGATTGAATGCAGTTGAGAAAGCTGCTACTTAGCTCTGTTTGTTATTGTTATACATTTATAAAATTCTGTTTAAAGTGGGAACAGGTAAATCTTTAGAATACTCTGATCTGCAAAGGCTTAAAATAACTGCATCATATAATAGAAAAATAAGTGATATTTTGATATTTTACCCAAGTTAGTTCCATGAAGAATGCAATGCTTAAATCTTAATTGATTGCCTGAAAGGAACCCACAGTAAGGTATTTCTAAATCCTATTTCTTGTATACAAAGCACCCACGTGTTAAAGTGCAGAAAGTTTTGGGCTGCTCTCTTTTCATGAGGATATTATTCTTGACATCAATGCAGACCTTGGTCATCCAAGGCTGTAGATCTAGATTTTGCAGAAACATAACTTGGAGTAGCTAAAAGGTCTGTATTAAAGCACATGAAGACAGAATGAGAAATAACTTTTTGCCTCTTGTCGAGGTGAATGATTTAGCGGTGACCAAAATCACTCATTTATGTTGTGTTTCTCAGATCCTCTGTCAATGGGTCCCCAGAAGGCTCTGGAAACCATTGGGGCGAACTTGCAGAAGCAGTACGAGAACTGGCAGCCACGAGTGAGTACCTGCTGCGCTCACACGCTCAGCTCGCACCCAGCCCGTGCACCCACATGTGCTTAGTGGTCCTGCAGCATTTGCTGCTTCCTTAATCCTTCTGTGTGGATAAATTCTTGCAAGCTGTCAAGCTTCATGTCTTTCTAGCTCATGTCTCTCTTGGCTAGCACTTTGCTGAAGCGCGTCTCTGCTATTGGTTGAAAATACTAAGTCAAACCATTTCTTAAATGTATGTTCTTCTGTGATTATTGTATTGTATGCATTCCACGTCCCTCCTCTATTTTCTAACCCAAATTTAATGGCAAAAAACCAAGATAATATACTCAGGGCAGTTGGAGCACAAATACAGTTATCACAGATTCTTTACCTCTTGCTGTATTTGATGCCTCCTCTTATTCTGGATTGGTTGGCTAGAATGGAGTTTATAGTTCAGCAAAAACTACAAGTTTAACCTAAAGAAAACTCAGTGTGCTTAGTGGTGGCATGTTTACATTACTTAAACCTGTGGATAATTTAAATGCAAATTCAGTAAAGGCGCTTTTTTCTAAGTAGTGCATTTTTAAGCTCTATCGATGGAAGAAAGACTTGTGTTTAAGCCTACATGGGATGTGTTTAAGACAAGCTTATTTACTTTCCTGTTTTCCCTTTTGGTGCACTGTCAGTTTATTCCTTTAATCTCTCTTTAGCAAACAAAAGATCTGGCAGAGAAAAATCAAGTGGTGTGTGAAACAGCAGAGTCAAAGGCCTTGATGCAGAGCGAAACCAGCCCTTTGCTCCGCTCTCTAATGAGCAGCCCTGGTCCTGGGGAAGGAGGAGCAGGCGGCAGCGGGCACCGTGTGTGTGGGCAGAGCTCCTGCTGCCTCGTGGAGCTTGCCCAAAACATGGAGCAGTTCCTGAGCTCAGATGTTTGTGTGCAGGGTGCCCGGTTCCTAACTGTAAATCACAGCCCTCGGAAGCATTGCCAACCTAAACACGTACCACTTTATGGCGCTCCACAGGGCTCTTGAGTTTTCTGCAGTAATAAAGAGAAGTTGATGTGCCATCCGCAATAAAACAATAGGAACATTATTGAATTTCCTAGATCTTTCATATAAATACTAATACATCTAGTTTTGTCTCTTTCCTGGTGTTTTGGAATGGCTGAAGGTTTGACAGAAAGGAGATGACTTGGGGGGGAAAGTAGCAAGCTACAGAAGGGCCCAGATCATTAAAATCTCCTGAAAAAGCCATTAGTGCTGGGTCGTCAGCGTGAGCCCGTAGACCAGGAAGGGCCTGGTATTCATATCTTATTGATACAAATAGGAAATTAATGCACAAATGATGATAACAACCGGTAAACTTACTCTGTTAGTCCACCCCGTGAGAAACCCCATGGGAAGAGTCTTATGCAATCCCGACCAGTGTGATCCGGTGTTGTCTGCTGATAATAGTAGGATGTGGTGTCAGTTAATAATGTTCTTGTTAAATACAAATAGCTTGGGTGAAATAAAGTCCTTAAAAGGGGCAAGTGGGAAAATTCTTTGATAGCTCACACACTCTGCAGCTGATGCATATTTCCTTGACAGGTCTTATTGAGCCCCTTCTACATAATTTATCAGCTTGCCATTGCTTGAAGTATATTTCTTCTGATTAAATTTAGGACTTTGCTTTATTGTTGTGGAGCTACATAAATTTGTGTACTGCAGGAGTAGAAAAAATACTTTAGCTGCTGTTTCATCTGCAAAATGCTGCAGTTAAACAACATTCAGTGCTTTCTTTGCAAGTCGCAAATGAAAATTTTATTGGGGGAGAAGAGTGGGGGTTAACAAAGCTGCAGGGATACAATGAAGAATTTATCTCTCTAAGGGATTTTCCTAACAAGTTACAATTCTGGTAATTCAGTGTAGGGATAATGTAGGTGGAGCAAGTGGAGGGAAATAAAACGCAGCTCTTCTCGAATGCTTCCCAGTGTAACGGGTGCGCAGGCCCGCTGGGCACCGCAGGGGTTAAATCTGAGCATAATCTGGAAAGCAGGCTCAATTACAGGGATAAAAGGGGTTGCTTAAGCAGATGAGAAGGAAAGCAGAAAAGAGGAGTGAAAGTTAAGAGCATAGGACCCCATAACACCCCTCCTGATCGCAGGGGGTTTCCTTCTTGGCAGAGACCAAGGTGAGACCCTCCCTGGGGGCCTTTGGGTGCCTGGGGCCGTGGGCTGGTGGCTGCGACGTGGTGGGTGCTGCACGGAGGGAAGCGCAGCATCCCCCGGGTGCTCCCCAATACCTGCGCTCTGCATGTCCCACAGTGCTCAGAATGATGCTCAGGCGAGAAATTGCCTGCACCGGGCTTGCATTTCCCTGCTCGTGATGAGCTTTTTGTTCCCTTTGCAGGATATTGTCTGTGGTAGGTGCAGGGGTTTGAATGACCCGCAAGAACCCTGGTCTGCCTGTGCTGGCAGCGGGTGGTTACTATCATCCCCGTGGCTTGCATGGAAGTGGGGAAGGGCGAGCGTGTTCTCCTTGGTGTGCTTGGCAGCGCTGCGTGCTATGTCATGTAAAAGGCAGGAACTGTCCTTAGCTACTAGTCGGCAGACTTTGCAAACGGCAGTGACAGGCTGCCAGTTCCTCAAGCGCCGCTGCGGTGAGGCGCCCCGTCAGTGTGCGGTGGCTCCGGGGGGTTATGGACAAAAACTGCCGGTCCTGAAGTCACAGTTTACTTGCATTTACCAACACAGCCTGGGGCCGGTGCCTTGCTGTGAGGTGCTGCAGAGCAGGGCCGGGGCAGGGACTGGAGAGGACGATCCTGGTGCTGGACCCGTGGCCGTCCTGTGCCCCGCGACATGTGTGCGGGGACACCAGTGTGGCCCTGCATCCTCCTGGCTGGGCTCTCTGAACTGCGCTCCAGCCCCGCTCCCATCACATAAAATGATCCTTAATCGGGGAATCGTGCACAGGCTGCAGCTAGCTCCGTCCATCTGGGATTGCTGTGCATGTTCCTAAGAGGCTGCCAGCCTCTTTTTTCCTTTTTTTTTGGATATTTCAGCCTCTTGTCTTTTAGCCTTCCCTGCATGGTAGAATTTGCCTGCCTGTATTTGTATCTGCCAGTGTAGCCAAAGGCAGAATTGCAGGTTGAATGATGCACAGCTTACATAATTCAGGATCTGGTATGAAGCAGTTTGGAGCATATGCTCATTAAATTTGCATGAAATTATAGATTTTCTTTTTTATTATTATTTTTGTTGGCTATGGCTTTTGCCCAGCTTCTCTCTTTAACCGTAAACTGCCCAGAAAACCCCTGGGGCTTTTTCTTCCTTTCTCTCTTCCTCAGTAATTTTGCCATTTCTGCTGTGGTTCTTTCTAGCCCCTGGCACTCCTTCCCCAGCAGTGTCTGTGGGGCTGATCCGGGTTCTCTGGGACAGACTGCCCCTGTCCTCCCCCTGGCAGGTCAGAAACTGCTGCGCGTAACGGCTGGGTGAGGAAAGGTGTCACAGCAGCCACAGCCCCGCGTTGCTCGTGCGGCACGGGCTGAGCATTGCATGAGGTGGGACTTGTTCCCACTAGAATGAATGTTTTAAGCTTTTAGAGAAGCATTTTAGGCCATACACTATTCTTTGCACAGAGAGCTGAGAAGACCAAGCAAGCGACACCCGCGGCTGAGGGACGGGGTGGTCGCAGCCCCTTCTTGTCTGTGCTGCAGCAGCGCCAGGAGCCTTCAGCTAAGCAGTACACATGGAATGGGAATCCACTGGCAATTCCAAGCAAGACTGGAGAGCCCTGGCAGCGTCCGGGGAGACGTTGGAGCAGTGTCGGCCAGTGGGACGGGGCCTGGGCGCCCTGGAGCCTGAGCTCTTGGCTTTGGTAGATGGCACCGGGCGGTGGGTTTTGGAGGGGACATCCGGAATGGAAACAAAAAGCAAGTCCTTGCAAAGGAGCTCCCTGAGGACAAGGTGCTGCAGGCCTGGGATAGACCAGAGAATAGGGTGGTAATTGAATTTCGCTTGTGCGTGGGATTACTGAGAGCAACAGGGCGTTGAGGCTGCGGAGGGGAGCGGGCTGCGCGGTGGGGCCCCTGGCGTGCTGAGACCAGAGCTTCTGGCTGGCAAAACGAACCCAGCAGCAACTGTGGCAAGAGGGGTCTGACTGGAGCAGATGCAGGGGTAGGGCAGGGGCAGCCCACGGCTAGCGGGGTGCTGGGACCGGCCCGGAGCCGCCCGCGTGCCGGGCTCGGCCGTGCCGGCGGCCGCGGCTCCCGCTGCGCACCGGGACATCCTTGACACCCCCAGCTGCAAACTCCCCCCGGCGCCCGGAGATTTTACCAGATTGTGTTGGCGACGCCTCTGCTTGCTAGAGAAGTTATGGGAATTTCCAGCTGAAGCTCAGTTCTTCTATGGAATATAGGACTTTTACATCCCGGGATATTTCACCTAACTGAGTGGGAGAGGTTTCTACCTGTGTGTGACATTTATTGTCATCTGAGCAAGATCCATTTGCGCCACTTCCCCTTCCACCCTTTTCAGGCCCGGAGCCCTTGGACTTTTGCATTTCTTAGTTTTTCCATAACTAACACCAACAGAGCAATTAGCTTTAAACATTAGATCCCAAGGAACTACTACTTTTTATTTCCTGCTAAATAAACAAAGAAAAAAATCAGCCAATTACAGTATTGATTTTTCTATTTCAAGTGCCCCATTATCTCCCCTTTTCTCCTCACCGCTTCTCCCTTTCTTGCTAGGATAATCATCTTCTGCAATGTCTTATTTTGTTTGTCTAATCTGTGCTGGGATTTCTTTTGAGTATTTCGCTTTAGCTCCAGCTGAAAGGCCTGAGTGAAGAGTGTCCATGAAGAGTTTTCACCTAGACCAAAAGTGTGGACGGATTTGCGAGGTCTAGAGGGCCAAATCAAATACACTGTGGTGGAACTTTGGGAAGGGAGGTTCAAAAGCAGATATTGGCATTTGAGCACGCCTGCTCTCTAGCATCCTTCATCACTGAGGACAGTGGTAAAGATAATGGACAAACACTGCCAAC